AATTATCCTAAGGAGGTAAGTGTCCCATGGTGAAGTAGAGCACTGTGTTTTTGTAAGAAACGCTATATGTATTATAAAGCTGTCTGGTGTGATACATTTTCGATGATTAGCCTGAGCCCTGTATAGAGGAATACGCTTAATGTTTTATTTCCTATCGTCCGTTACCATTATTGACAAGATATGGGAGATGTAGGTGAAGGAAACAAAAAAAGAAAAAATTGGTATTTTTAAACATGTGTCATATATTTTAAGAAAAGATGAATTGTACATTTTTTTATTAAGCGGGCTGTGTGGGATCAAGGAAAATGGGTTTTAAAAATTTATTATAAAAAATGAAAAAATTAATTGCAAAATAAAAATCTAAATTTAATAAAAGAAATAAAAAATATAATTAAAAAAATAGCTTACAAATTAAAAAATACAATTTAAAAATACAATAAAAAATACAATTTAAAATTATAATTAAAAAATAAAAAAAAAGCTGGCCGGGCCCTGAAAAAAAAAAGATAATAATCATGTATGACGTATATAGTATGAAATAGAATAGTTTAAGACACACCAATTTGAAAGCCGTCTAACAGGGCTACTCCTCGCAGGAGTCGTAGTCCGAGTTCCTGCAAAAAAAAAAAGATGATTATATTATTTACGTCTGACACACATACGCGTATATATATTGATTAATACATACTACTCGAAAGATGTCAGTGGAGGCATCTGGAAGAGGCGCCTCATCGAAAAAATGTCTTCGCCTCCCCAGTCTTCCTCGTCGAGGAACCAGCCGTTGTAGCGATTGCTATCACTCCGCTGGTTCCTCTTCGCCACCATCTCTGCAATCGAGAATGTACCCGCGGACCTGTAATAAAAGAGAAGAAAAACACCTTATAATAAACCTTTGTTAAAATTAGTGCACTAAAATAAACGTAGAAGACACTACACTCACTTCGATCATGATTGGTGCTACCATTGTACAGTGTCGTAAAGTATGCTGAGTGCAACTGATGAGCTGCGCCGAGTTGGATGAATCGCTCCAGCTTACCCCCACTTGCATCTCCTAGGAACTAAGATCTAAATGCACACGGGAGTGGGGGCCCACTCGCTGGTCAGGGGTTCGTTGCACCAAGGACAATAAAAAAAAAATCTGGATCAAAGCACCCAGGTCAGCGGTACGCGTCGAGATTTATGATGAGAAATTAATTTTTCCCATACACCCAGTTACATGTTTTAAGATATGTTATAACCCCATTATTTAAAAAAAAAAGACGGTATGTATAACAGTGATAAATTTAGGCCCGCTTTTATTTTATTTATAAAAATAATATATCTGACACCCTTTACTCTTGTTTCTAGTCACCACCGTAGCATCATAGTCATCGACATCACCACCATTGGCCATAACAAACACCCATAACGGATTGGACAGGTAAGTGTGATAATTTTAAGCTACACTGGTTTTTTATCTGGTTTAAACAGCTTTATTAAACACACTGACATTTTTACAGATTATGGCGTCGAGAAGACCGGACACGCCACCCTTCGGAATCGAGGGGTCCCTACTCTATATATATTATTATTCTACTTATGTAAATACTCTACCTATGATTGAATTGAATATACACTAACCTGTGTATCCTGTTTTACAACGTGAATATTGTACTCTACCACCACCACCACCGCCGCCATAGATCTTATTATCCTGCGCATACCGGCGATCCGTCAAACGCTTCTTTCGCACAAAAGCGTCGTAGTACTCTCGGGCAATTCTATCGTTTTTCCGCAAATCACCGCTAAACACATTCTGGAAGGCATGCATCCCAAAGCCGGATGAGAGGTAGTGTAAGAACATCATGCAGAATTGGCCGCACACCGTCGACGTCTCGCTCTGAAGCTGCTGAGTATTCCATCGGAAGGCTCGACAGTTTCGTCGGAGCCTCGATACGTGGTGATGATTCAGCGGTGGTAATCCGTAGCTGTCAAAGTAGTAGCCATCTCCGTCGGTGTCCACGTACGTGGCAACCCAATGCGCTCCAGGCTTCGTATGATCGTCCGTGTT